TGTGTTCAACCTAGGGGTGGCAAAATTCAGTTTTGCCTCTGCTGCTGCAAAGTCTCCAGCGACGTCTAGTGCTTGTGGCTGACTGCAAAATAAGGGGAGGGAAAGGAGTGAAATTTAAGTAGTCACGACTTACTGTCCCAGGGAAAGATTTAACTCTAAGGCCTTTATTACATATATTTTAAAGAGAGCGAGGTTGGAGAAGTCACCTGAAGCAGAAAACCAGCAGTTTCTAGTCCCCTGCAAGATTTTTATCACTTTGAAGTTATATTAAAATGTGGCAAATCAGCTTTGGAAAAGATGATGGAAATATCCTCAAGCATAGCAAGCATGGCTTCTCTGCCCACGTGGATCACCAGAGAAGCTAACATAATGTGATCTCTCCTGGGGAGGAAGGGTGAACCAGAACAATCCAAGCCCTGCCCTTCCTGGGTTCGGCGCGTCTGAGAGGCCGATGGAGCTCCTGTGCATGTCTATATTTAAACCAGAGAGTTAGTCTGTGTCCTGCACCAGCATCCTTCTAGCATTGCTGCCAATGAGTTGGGCTGAGCAAAGTGTCTGTGTCCTTATTCTGGAGAGCTGGGTCATGTGAATGGCCCACATGGAGCCAACACACTGTAGAGGTGCCTGACCAAGCATGACTTGGTCTAGCATGGTCACAGCCCATCTTTAGGAAACTAATAGACTGAAAACACTACCCCTTGTCCTGTAGGTTATACTGCTCTACTTTCACAGGACTGGTCTAAATCTGAAAAATTTTATGGTTCCTAAAGCTCAAACCTTTGAAGGATTTTAGTGGCAGATTCACCCTGAAATCCATTGTCTTTTTGCCCAAAGCCCCATGCTTAGCTTGGTGTTGGCTGCTAGAGAGGTTGGAGGTGTCCCTCCAAATGGGGACACAGCTGTTCCCAGCCATCTGTGTGATGGGCCTGGTGTTCCTCTACCATGCAGAGATGAGACTCTGACAGCTATCTGGGATGAAAGAGACGTGAGTACAAYCATCAGGCAGGGATGCCTGCACAGAAGCAGGTCCATTTCATCAGGGTCCTCTTCATGGCTCTGTGTGAGGACTCGGGGTATTTCCTTTCCAAGCCTGCTAGAAACCTGCCAAAAATCCCAAGCAGCAATGCCATGCTTGAAATCCRCTACAGCCCCAAGGCAAAAATGTCCCTTCAAAAGTATTTCCAGGCTTACTGGAGAGAAAGCAAGCTGCGGTTCAGAGGCAGCTGGAGAAGCTCGGCACTGAAGGCAAGAAAAGGAGCCAAGACTCCATGTAGCCGGGTGACCAGGACTGGGGTTACCGAGATCATTTGGGCTTTGTCTATGACCAGGCACATCAGCGCATGTTGCCCTCCTGGCTTAGTGTCAGAGATTTCTACACAGACTGATGTGCCTGGAGCGGACTGGGGAATCCCCCGGTGATGGCCCTGCTGGCCCAAGTACAGGCAGCAGAAGTGACACCAGGGCCACCAGCTCCTTCATCAGCACAGCCTTGCAGCAAGGGCCTCACGAATGCCCTGGGCTGCTAGATTAAAGCCAGCTCCCCTGCCCTGCAATCCCATCTCTGCTCCAACGTCAACATACCTCAGGCTGGATTTGCCACCAGAGGGAGACCCTATTGTTTCACAAATCTGTAACAGGAGCCTGCTGCAAATGGCAAGGAAATATTCACTTTCCCAGTGAGAGGATGCATGCAAATATTCCCAGCCCACCTAAAGTGTGCTGATCATGGAAGGTTGCTTTTNTTTTTTTTTTTTTTTTTTTTTTTTTTTTTTTTTCTGTACTAAGTATCTACTAGTTAAGCATCATGAAAAGCTGCTGTGAGAATCGATGGCAAGTTTCTTAAACTGAGCCAAGCTCAGAGAGAAAAAAGAGGCGAGCAGGGTTGCATCAGAATGGCTCTGAGCTTCTGGTTTCTTTTTCTTTTCTTTTGTTGGTAGCCTTTATTAAAAATGTAATTTTAACGGTTATGTTTATGGAAGAGATTTTTTTAGTTAAAAAAATCCCTGTTTAAGGATTAAGTCGTTGGATATCTGAAAACTCATAGATATCTTCATTTTCTTCCTATACTTTGCTCCATGAAAATGTAATTTTGATAATGAAGAACAGTCCAATTAATAGTCCCGACTGGTCGTTATTACACAGCAGCTGCTGACCTGACTCCAAGTTCCCATGTAAACCTGCTGTCCACGTGCTGCAGCCGATCAGGGACCCCATGGGTTGGAATGGCTTGGTGACAAGAGTTATGGAGAAAACTCGCTAGATGGGAAATTACACTGTGTACCTGTGTTCCCAGGTACAAGCCTCATGYTCCACCCTAGGGTGACCACAGGCATGCAAACTTTGCTGCACAAGCTTTGTCTTGTGGGCTGTGACACACACTGACACCAAGCTTAGATCAATATGGTTTAGTTCTTCTTGGCTCAGTGCAGGAGTCCCTGCCTGCCTCATTTATTAGAACAAAATGGGAATCCTGGTTCAGATGATACCAGCAAGACACAAGGGCCCAGAAACCTCAGACATTTAGGCTGCCAAGTGCCTTTGTGCACCTAATTTCTGTTGTCCTGAGGCTGAGGCTCTGCATTTTTTTGGCTTTGGTACCTCACCAGCATGAAAGATCCTTCTCTCACCTCCTAATGGTGAGACTACAGTGCTGATGGCCTTGGCAGTAACAGGAGTGATTGAAACTACTGGGTACTTCCTATGCAAGGACCTGATCCTCAGTAACTGGAAATGTCTTGGAGAATATACTATTCAGGGTGAAATTTGTCACAGCAAGCCCTCTCCTAAGGCTGATGTTTTAGCAGAGGAGAAAAAAGTAGGGTGAGGAAATAGGAAAATGAATTCCAGCTGGAGTAGATTACTCATTTCTGACAAAATAAAGAAAAATGCATTGTTTGGCCCATGTTAATAGTGGCAATGATGATAATTATTGTAGCTCTGAAGACTTTTTGGAGCTGGGCATGACTTCCTCCAATTGGAAAACCAGGACATTCTGAGTTCAAATCCAGATCTGAACATCTGAATTGATAATGGGAAAACCATGTCCTCCAAGCTTTCAGCTTGGCCTTGTTGGGATCCATGAGGAAATTTAAGCGATTTCAATGCACAATATATTAAAGGTGAATTTAAAGGCTTGTTGAGAAGTCTGCTAGGGCAAGGAATCTGAGAAGTGGAGGAATTGGAAATTCTGGGGAGATAGAAGTGAAAGAAGAAAAACTGGATCAAGGGGCTAAGAGAGGAGGTACAGAAACTGAGTCACCCACTGATAGAAAGGTGAATCTTAAGAAAGGGGAAGTTAAAACTGACTTTCACGGGATTATTCACACATTGACATCTCCTTGGTGCTGTAGCTAATAAAGAATTTTCTTATATCCTTGTCTCCTGCTACTGAATGTGATGTAGGCTGCTGAAGTTGAGACATATATGCTGATCGCTTTTCTTGTTCCAAGAAAAAAAAAAAAGAGAGAGAAAAAAGAAGATGGCATATTTACACGGAAAAAGAGAGCTGCGGTCATTTGACCACAGTAACTCTGACGAACTTTAGGCTGGAAAACAGCCTCTGGGCATATGGAAATCACTGCTGCAGTGAGAGTGCTATGTCTAGCACATCTAAAGCATCATAGATATGCTACACTAAGCATTTATATATATATATATATATATGTATATATATATATACACCACATGCATAGCCTGTGGTTGGCCAGGCACTTCATTACTTTCTGAGCCTCTGTTAATCAGTTACAAGGTACAGCCATGCAGATGTAATGGATTTTTGGTGCAGATGGGACCATCAAATGTGGATCACTTTTCCAGCTGCAAATTTGGAGATTCTGTCTGCAAGACTGCAAATTGAAAGAGTTTCAATGTTCAACTGATGGCACAAGTTCATCCCAGGTGAAACTGAACAAAATCACTGATTGCTCTGTGCATTTTAGCTAATTAATTTCCCCACTGATAGAAAAACTCCCAAGCAAATCCCAAAACAAAACCAGCAGCRAAACTACTGCTTTGGTTCTCTGTGATCCTGACTCACAGTAAATTCCTCTCTGCAGTGAGTAGGCTGACATAATCAAGAGAAAATTAGACATGATTGCAGTGGAACTTTTTGAATTTATTGGAACAAAGCAAAAAGGTGGAAACAATCCATTTTGACACTTTTTCACTGACAATTTTGTCAAAATCGATACCATCCCTTGAAACATGTCWATTTTGATGAAATGGCATTTTTTTCTGATGGAAAAAATTAAGCTGAAACTGTTTCCATCAGCTCTACCTGACCCATATATCTTTAGCACTGTTTTTTTTTTAAGAGTAGGGAGCAGAATAGAGACTGCTGCAGACCTTGTTCAAAGACCTGCACTTTGTTACTGGAGACTCACTGGTGGACCGCATATTTATTTTCTTTTTTAGTATGTTAAGAATCATAAAGATTTTAAAACATCACTCTGGTTAGAAACAAGCCGTGCAGTAGAAGTGGGATTTGCAGATGTTTGGCACAAGTACAGGCTGCGGCTGCTCTCACACCAGGTCTGTGTCTCCATCGCCCTCAGCTTCGAGCTGTTGCTTGTATCAGTGCAGAGCGTGGTGCACTCGTGGATCTGGACAATCTCATCCCATTCCTCACTTTGCTCTTGTTTAAATGTCAGCACGAGGAACAGATCGCAACAGGAGTTGGCTGGAAGTGTGTGAGGAAAGGTTGTACTGCCAGAGATCAGATGATGCCCCATTAAATGCACTAGTCTTGCCCCAGAATCCTCTAGCATACAGCTCCATCTTCTTAGATAATGTTATTTTGGAGCTGAGAGAAACCCAGATTATCAGCAGTGACTGAGCAGTGACTTGCATTGCTAAGGACTAAGAATCGATGTGCTCAGCTGAAGGTCCAGTTGCCTCCCTGCTCTGTTGCAATAGCAGAAGTGGATTTTTCGGGAAGAGTATAAAGAACGTGTACATATGTACACACACATTCTCAAAAACATATGCATATATATATTCTCAAAAACATATGCATACATATATAGATATATATATCTGCATATATGTGTGTGTACATATATTTACAAACAGATCCAGTCCCTGTCAATGCCAGCTTGTGCTCATTTCTCAGTTCAAGTTTGGACATTCAGGGTCTTCTTGTCATACGGGCAAGAAAACACAGGTGATCTTGGAAAATAACCAAAGAAGACAAACTTGTCTGAGACTAGAGATAGATATTTTAACAAATCAGTATTTCCTAAACTCCAGTCTCTTTCATCTTCCATGTAGCTCTGTTTCCATGTTTCCATGGGGGGGCTTTGATTTGCAAATCACTCAGGACTATCTAATGTTTCCTTTCACTTTCATAACCCTTGAAGTGTTTTGTGCTCCTTCTTATTGAGATTAAAGGAGAAAACAGGGGCTCAGCTTCTCCTTTAGCAGATTGAAATGCCTAATAACTGTGTGAAATGAAGTGAGAAGAGCTGTGAAGCCTCTAAGAAGATTTTGAGTTTAGGCACTACCCATCTAGTGATTAACTTCTACACTGAGAATGTTTTCTGGAGAAAAACTCAGATCTGGTAGATCTGTGGATACAGCTAGAAGATCAACAGAGTGACTAAAATAATATGGAGGCTAAAGTGATTGCATCATGGTCATCCTTCTTTCCAGACCCTAAACAAGTTTTTCATCCATCCTATAAATCTGCATGCCTAGAAACTTTCATCCTTCTCCCAGTCAGTTTCCTTCATTGGATGCGACCTTCCCCATCCCTTTGATTTCTTAGTTCAGAGAGATTTCAGTCAGACCAGAGCTAAAACCCTTCTGGTGTGCTCAACCATCCCTTGCAGCCTCCAGAGCTTTCCAGTCACCTAGTTTTCCTGTCTTTATTTTACAGTGTAAAGATCTTAGCAGTCACAGGATCACAGGAGATGTGTCTTTTATTCTGGGGGCAATCACAACATATTTCTACTCTGACAGTTGCCCACAGTCCCATTCAAATAGTCTTAGCCAACAGTAAATATATTTGACAGGGAGAAAACCCAAACATGAAAGGTGATGAAACCTAAACGTGCCTCAGACAAACTTAGCTAAAACGTTGATAGCTGGGGAAGAACTTTACACTATCCAGGCTGGATTACAGCCTGCACAGCCTTTCCAGTTGGCTCACATCTCTGACTCTTGGCCTTTGGCATCCAGTCACTCTTTTCTTAGGCTGTCCATTTCCTTGTCAGGTCTGGTTACAAACCCAGCCTCATGTTTGTGTGAGTGTGTGTCTGTGTGTGTGTGTATTGCTCTGTTCCAAAAAGTTAATGCACTCCCATGGAAAGCAGGATCTCTGCCTCACTTCAGACAATTCACCTTCGGCATTCCCACTTTAGTGTTCCCAAAGCAGCAACTTTTGATGGTGGATTTGTCTCAGAAAGCTATCTTGGATGGCTTTTCCATTCAAAGCTTTACAGKTCCCTTAGCTCTTTCCCTAAATGCCACTCTACAAAATCCTCCCTGGTCTTGCTGTTGGCCCATGGTAAGAAGAACCAACATCCCATGCAAGCATTACGCAGAGGTTCAGGTTGCAAACATGCGAATTGGAGACCAGGAGATAAGCACGAGACAGAAAACTGCACTGTCCCTACAGCTTTCTTTCCATGCCCCAGGAAACCAGGCAGCCCTGGTTTCTATCTTGGAGGCAGATGCTGGAGTGGGTGAAGCAGCATCCACTGTTATGTATATCTATATGGTGGACATAGCTGTGCCTTTATCCCCCTGTGTCTGCAACAGTCATTTTTCCTGACTCTCTGATTGTCTCAAATGGGAATAGCCTGGTCCTCTGAGGTTCTTCTTGGGAACATCTCACAGTATCATGCYGTCTCCTTGAAGCTGCCAATATTCAGTCTTCGGTGATACCGGGCAAAGAGAGAAGAGAACTGAAAAAACCCTGAAAACTYAGCTCCTTTGTAAGCAAATGGGAATTTTGCCATTAGCTTTAGCAAAGCCTGCGTTTTCCCCTGGCTACCAAGAAACAGATAACTGTCACGCTGAATATTACTCCAAGAAGAGTCCTTGCTTGCCATCACTTTAGTGAGCTCTGCTCTTCTCTATGGGACAGACTTGGAAGGACAGAAATCCACATGAGTCTACAGTATTGTTGATAAATTGCCCATACTGASACCATGCAGCATATTCCTCAATCAGATATATAATATGAGGCTATCTAGATAGTCCCAGAGATGACAGCAATAATCTCTGCAAGTATAACTCTGCTTTCCTAAATGTCAGCTTACATTGGTACCCAATACAGCTATAATATTTATGTTGCTTGTTTGCTGTCCAAGACATCCGCTCCCATAGTGAAAGAGCGGAGAACAAGCTTCATTTCCTGAAGGTGCTGAGAGATGTTTATAATCTGAAGCTTTGGAGCAGAATGAACTCCCTACTGTCCTTGCTGCTGGCAAGAGAAAACAACAGCAATGGAGATGAACCTGTTTTACCCATGTTATGTTCCCTCAGTGCTTCCTGCCCTGCTTTGAGGTCATTGCACCTGTTTTGGACCAGACCTGACTCTAGTCAGGAGCTTGGACTCTGAGTAGGAGAATAGGACAAGGGTCTGCCCTTGGGTTGAGAGAYACCTCTAAACAGCTGTGTGTGGGTCACTCTGTGCTCTTTTTCTACCTCTGTTGAAAATTCAGCTATGCAGCAAGGAGTGGAAGTGGAAAGAACCAGGTCTGGGGCATGTTGGGGGAAGAGCTTGGCAAAACTAGTCACAGAAAGCTGCGGGGGTGGAAATCAATGTGCCTGCAGATTCACTGCATGCTTTAACCTTAATTGCTTGCTGCAGTTCTAGGATCCATAAGCTTTTTGTAGCTTTTCTTTCCTTTAATAAAGGCTCTCCCTGAGTCCATGCAGGTTCTGCATGCTTGCAAGTTCATAAAGCTCAGACTTTACTGCTGTGGTGACTGGTAGAAAAGGTAACCAAAGGCTGCCYGTCTGTGCTGAATTTCTTTGCAATGTGAGCAAATGCTTCAATGAATTGTGAAGAAATATGGACCACTTGTTTGCAAGGACAGTGAGGGCTAGAAAAACAACAGTCCTGCAGGACTGCAGGATTTCTGCACTTCATGAGTTAAAAGGTTTCACTGGACAAAAAAGTGTTTTTCAGGACAGTGCTAGTTACAATTTTGCGTTTCATTATGTGCTTTGGACTCCCCTCCCTGGCCCCTGAGTTGATTGGCACAGGAGGAAAACTAGAGCTGTGCAGTAGTTCCAGAGTTTTGACAAAAGGTCCTCTTGGTAATTTGTGGAAAGCTGGCGATGATAAACTGAAGCCAAAAAATTTCCTGACTCTTAAGTATAGTATTACTCAGCCACCTAGGAGCACTGCGGTTTTCTGTCTCCTTTCAGAAGCATCTTGTGTCAATTGATTCTGGAGCAAGTTGGGTGAGGGAGATCAATGACTTGCTCAAGGATGGCAAATCCTCTGTTTTTCTACTTGTTGCTCATATATGAATGTAATATTTCCACTGGGGAAAATATTCCCCCCCACCCCTGCTACAATTCTAAAGTATAAATACAAAAATACTTTTATCTTGGAGTTATATTAACCTGGCAAACATGACAAAAACTTTCACTGAAGCTCTCCCAGAGATAGCACTGTTTTGGCACAAAGTTCTCCAAAAGTGATGTCATGAATTTACATGCCAGAGTTTTCCCTTTCTTCTTCAGTTTGTGGCAGTGTCAAAGTTCTCCTCTAGAACAGATCTGTTTTTAATATTTCATATTTACGTTTTTCATTTCAGGGCTGGCTGCAACATCTTTTGGTCTCAACCTTGAAAATGCTTACACGTATATATAGTCCCAACTCCTGAAGAGTCTCTTGAAGTCTCTGAGCAGCAGAGATTGCTTCTAAATGTACACAGACCTGAAAGCCTTTTTTTTAAACCATCAAGATCCACCTACAGAAATCTATGTTGCTCTGCTGAGTCAATTAGAATGCATCTCTTTATATGAGCACAAGATCTAGTAAAAATGTAAAAAARCACTTATCATATGAAACTCTACATACCTTTAGAGAAAGATAAACACAAGAATCCATCATTCAGGCAACTTTGGTCAATCCTGGTTACAGGTTTTTTTTTTGTGCCATGAAGCCTCATCTCTTTTCTGCAGAAAAACTCCAAAGACAGTGGGGTGTTTTTCTTTTTTCTTTTTTTTTTTTTCTTACTTCTTTGAGTTGCTAAAGAGTCATATTTTAAAGTTAGAAATACTTGTCAGCATCCTAGCATGGCCTCCAGAGCTGATGACGCAAATATGACAAGAAGTGAGGTCAGATTACAAATGAGGCTGCTTCAAAACCTCTCCTGTAAAACTGGAGAGTTTGAAGAAAGAGATGAAATGCGCCGAGGGGAAGAAAAAAAAAAAGGCTTCATAATCTGCTTGAAAGTGAAAATAAAATACCCTCTAATATCCTCAGGAATGTGATCTTCTGTTTGCTTTTGGCAAGAGAGCTGCACGTATCCTGTTTGCCCATACCCCTGGGCTTGCACATCCCCTTCTGTGGTCGCCACTGAAATGAGAGATAGAACCAGGGATCTCCAAGGCTAAAAAGTCACAAGTCACGTCCTCTAAAGACAAGTCCTAGTCTTGGAATCTATAGTAGAGAGTGACCTTGCACAATCTTGGATACTTGCTTGTGATGTGTCCATCAGGAGCTAATATATACATAAAAAGCGCAAAGCTGCATGGCAAAGCAAAGGTAGTCACAGCTTAGCAATATGTACATGAGTGCTTTCCCAGCTTGYCTGGGTGGGAACTTACAGGATGCTTGAGAGATCACCAGAAACTCTGAAAATAAGGGTGAGGGGCTGCTCTTTTAACAAGAGCCTCTTCCATGCCCATGTAAGCATGCTGGTACGGGACATTCGTGCAGCTCAGGGCACCCACTCTTGGCTGAATTTTCTAGGAGCTCCAAGCCTGAATGTCCCTGCAAAGAGAACTTCCAGAAGCCAAAACCAGACATGATGCCCAAAATTCAGAACTGAACTGAAGGAGTCCAGGSAAATGTACACGACAATGTCCCACTTGAAAAGATGCAAGCTCCTGAGAAGCTCTCCTCATGTCATGCAATGAGTTGGTGGGAC